CCTTGGTAGAGTGCCGTGGCATCACAGCTCACAGCAACCTCCAACTCCTGGGCTTAGGCGATTCTCTTGCCTCAGCCTCCCAAGTAGCTGAGACTACAGGTGCTTGCCACAATGCCCAGCTATTTTTTTGTTGCAGTTTGGCTGGGGCCAGGTTCGAACCCACCACCCTCAGTATAAGAGGCTGGCGCCCTACTCACTGAGCTACAGGCGCCACCCCATATTTTTATTTATTTTATTTTACTTATTCTTTCCTTTTTGCAAGTCTGTCTCTCTATGGCACCCTCAGTAGAATGCCGTGGCTTCACACCTCACAGTAACCTCAAACTCTTGGGCTTAAGTGATTCTCTTGTCTCAGCCTCCCACGTAGCTGGGACTACAGGTGCACGCCACAACCCCTGGCTATTTCTGGCTATTTTTAAGGATGGGGTCTCACTCTTGTTCAGGCTGGTCTCGAACCTGTGAGCTCAAGCAATCCACCTGCCTCAGCCTCCCAGAGTGCTAGGATTATAGGCATGAGCCACCACACCTGGTCCCAGTAACAGTGTTTTGTTTTGTTTTGTTTTTTTGGAGACACAGTCCCACTATGGCACCCTCAGTAGAGTGCGGTAGTGTCATAGCTCACAGCAACCTCAAACTCTTAGGGTTAAGTGATTGTCTCGCCTTGTCCTCCCAAGTAGGTAGGACTACAGGCACCCGCCACAACGCCCAGCTGTTTTTTTGTTGTTGTTGTTGTTGTAGTCACTGTTGTTTAGCAGGCCAGGGCCAGGTTTGAACCCATTAGCTCCAATGTATATGCCCAGCTTCTAGTAACAATGTTTTTAATACGTGGTGGCACCTATGACTCAGTGGGTAGGGCATCAGCCCCATATACCGAGGATGGTGGGTTCAAACTTGGCCCCAGCCAAACCATTACCAAAAAATAGCTGGGCGTTGTGGTGGGCACCTATAGTCCCAGCTACTTGAGAGGCTAAGGCAAGAGAATCATCTAAGCCCAGGAGTTGGAGGTTGCTGTGAGCTGTGATGACACAGCACTCTACCAAGAGTTATAAAGTGAGACTCTGTTTTAAATACACGGCATCTTAAATTTTTTTTCTTGAACCCTTTATTCCCTTCTTCTTTCCCTCCATTTTGCAGTATGGTAACCTCTCTCAAGTCAAATGCACTGTCATGCCACCAGTCTGTGTAAGGTAGAAGTTGCTGATGGAATAAGGGATCCCCATTTCCTCTCTTAAGAGAGCCAGAGACTTTATAGTCCATTGTGGCACCAGGCATAGACAGAGAGCATGTATTTATGTATCTGACAAGGTTTCCAGGGTACACATGTGAGGAAACAGTAAGGATCTGTGATTTAGAGTCTCCAGCCTGGGTGGTGCCTGTGGCTCAAAGGGGCAGGGTGCTGGCCCCATATACTGGAGGTGGCAGGTTCAAACCCAGCCCCTAGCCAAAAAAAAAAAAGAAAAAGAAAAGAATCTCCAGCTTACTTGTTTCTCAGGCTAATGTTCTCTGGTTTGAACACTTCTTGATAAGCGGTTTTGTTGCAAAGGATGAGGTCAAGTCGATGCACAGCCTCCACCACAGCCCTGCAGGGAAAAACAAGCAAACAACTCAACCCCTAAGCCATGTGCAGATCCACCAGGATGGTGGCACACTGATTCTAGAGAAAGCTCAAGCATTAGAGGTGAGGAAATAAGGAAAAGGCTGCAAGCTGACCTTTGCACAAAGCAATACGAACAGTCTCCATCCTGATATGGCACCCTCCCTCTACTAGGGGACATCTGGCAATAATGGAGACACTTGTGGTTGTCAAGATTGTGGGGAGGTGGATTGCTATTAGCATTTAGTAGACACTGCTGGATCGGCGTCTGTGGCTCAAGTGGCTAAGGCACCAGCCACATACACCCAAGGTGGCAGGTTTGAATCCAGCCCGGGCCCGCCAAAAAAACAACAATGACGGCGTTGTGGCAGGCACCTGTGGTCTCAGCTACTCAGGATGCTGAGGCAGGAAACTCGCTTGAGCCCAGGAGTTGGAGGCTGCTGTGAGCTGTGATGCCACAGCACTCTACAGGGGGTGGGGGGGTAGCTTGAGGCTCCTGTCTCAAAAAAAAAACAGTAGACACTGCTAACCATCTTGTAATACACAAAGGCTGCTACAACAAAGAAATGTCCCTGCCCCAAATATCAACAGTGTCAAGGTAGAGAAACTCTGTAACACGGGAGGATAGCTCTCCTGATGGTAAGAGTGCAGGCTATGATGCCCAGCAGAAAATCTAGGGTTTGAACACTGGCTGTGTCTTATGAACTCTGTGACTTTGGGCAAACCATCTAACATTTTAAAGCCTTGGCTACCACATCAATAAAAATGGTGATAACAGGGTGGCGCACATACCTCAGTGGGTAAGGTGCCGGCCACATGCACTGGAGCTGGAGAGTCTGAACACAGCCCAGGGCCGGCTGAAGCAACAATGACAAGTGCAACCAAAAAAAGGAGGTGGGGTGGCGCCTGTGGCTCAGTGAGTAGGGCACCAGCTCCAATGCCAAGGGTGGCAGGTTCAAACCCGGCCCCAGCCAAACAGCAACAAAAAAGGGCCAGGCGGCGGATGCCTGTAGTCCCAGCTACTTGGGAGGCTGAGGCAAAAGAATCACCTAAGCCCAGGAGTTGGAGGTTGCTGTGAGCTGTGATGCTACAGCACTCTACTGAGGGTGATAAAGCGAAACTCTGTCTCTAAAAAAAAAAGTGTAGATTTGAGATCAGCACAGTGGCTCATGCCTGTAATCCTAGCACTCTGGGAAGCCAAGGTGCGTGGATTGCTTGAGCTCATAAGTTCAAGACCAGCCTAAGCAAAAGCGAGACCCCATCTCTGCTAAAAATAGAATAGAAAAACTAGGGTGGTGCCTGTGGCACAGTGAGTAGGGCACCAGCCCCATATACCAAGGGTGGCAGGTTCGAACCCAGCCCTAACCAAACTGCAACAACTAAAAAAATAGCTGGGTGTTGTGGCAGGTGCCTATAGTCCCAACTACTCAGGAGGCTGAGGCAAGAAAATTGCCTAAGCCCAGAAATAGGATGTTGCTGTGAGCAGTGTGATGCCACAGCACTTTACTGAGGGCAAAAAAGTGAGACTCTGTCTCTAGAAAAAAAAAAAAAATAGAAAAACCAAGGCAAGAGGGATTGCTTGAGCCCAAGAGTTGGAGGTTGCTGTGAGCTATGACATTATAGCACTCAACTGTGGGAGACAGCTTGAGACACTGACTCAAAAAAAAAAGGGTATAGATTTGGAACCACACTGCTTGGGTTCAGATCCTAGCTGTACTTACCAGCTATGTGATCCTAGGCAAAAATATTTCACTTCCTTATGTATCAGTTCACCCAATTATAAAATGGGAATATTATCATCTACTTTATGAGAACTAAATTAGCTAATGCATTAAGCACCCAAGACAATACCTGGTACACAGTAGACATTCCACAAATGTTAAGCCATCTTTCTTGTTAAAGGGCTGAGGGGAAACTCTAGACCAGTAGTTCTCAACCTTCCTAATGCCGCGGCCCTTTAATACAGTTAAATACAGTTTAATATTGTTGCAACCCACAGGATGAGAACCGCTGCTCTAGACACTAAGAAGTAAGCCTGTCAGTAGAGCAAGCAAAACCACAGGAACTTTACAATGAATGGCCAAGGAGTCCCAGAGGCAGGAATCATATCTGATAGGGTAAAACCCAGAGGATCAGAGGCAGCAGCTATAAGAACAAGTGCATCAGGCACAGCTGTAGACACAAAAACAAGAAAAGACAGGGAGTGATGATTTCCAGAACAAACCAAGATGTGCTTCTGGGCCAGGAACCATGAGCCACGGCAGCGGTATAGGCTCATTACTAAAAGCTGTTCTGAACAAGGCAAAGTGTCTGCCAGCACCCAATTGAATGGGATGATAACCAAGGCCTTCTTACAGGCAATCTAGGGGGGTCAGCACTTTTCCAAACACCTTCTGGGCAGTCCAGAAATGGGAGCCAAGCCCTTTTAACCAGCCTGGCCCTCCACGACAGGGGGATTGTCAGTGATTTATTCTATGCCAGCATAGTCCCCAGGGCAGAGCTTTTAACTTTAGTGCCATGGAAGTATATGTGTTTTAGACATGCTCCAAAGTCCTCCTTATATTCTCAATTAAAAAAAAAAGTTAACAACCACTACTCTAGAAAAGTTCTAATTGAGAATGCTTAAATCTTAAAGGACTCAGTACTTTTTTATCCATTTCCCATCAGACTATAAGTTCCCTCCCCTAAACTTTAGAATAAAAACTACAAAAACTATTGGTATTTTTTTTTTGAGATAGTGTCTCACTTTATCCACCTTGGTAGAGTGCCGTGACGTCACAGCTCACAGCAACCTCCGATTTCTGGGCTTAGGCAATTCTCTTGCCTCAGCCTCCCAAGTGGCTGGGACTACAGGTGCCCGACATAATATCCAGCTATTTTTTTTGGTTGCAGTTTGGAACCCAGCACCCTCAGTATATGCGGCTGGTACACTACCCACTGAGCCACAGGCCTATCCCAAAAACCAGTCTTGTGTCTCATTCACTATTGTAATTCTAGGCCTAGCACAGTCTTAAGAAAGAAAATGTTTTTAAAAACAAATAACTAATTAATTGGCCTAATTAACTAATTGGTGCTTGTGTCCCTTCCAGCATACCTTCTCCTGCTGTCTTTTCTTCTGACTGGCTTAAAATATTTCATAATCTTGTATCAGAAAAAAGCAAGCTGTGGGAGTTTCCCAAATTTTTGAAACTCAGGGGGCACCTGTGGCCATTCGAGTAGGGTGCTGGTTCCATATACTGGAGGTGGTGGGTTCAAACCCGGCCCCGTTCAAAATAAAAAATAAAAAAAACTGCAAATTTTTGAAACTCACACTGACAAGTCTATAGTCTAATAATACAATTATCTTGGAGAGAGAAATCAGACCTTCCTTCCAGTTCCTTCCACCAATGACCACTGCAATATTAAGTAATAAAAACAGAGATTAGCTGCCTCAAATCTCTGCCCAGCTCAAAGCCAACAACACACAATTACAGGCAGACACCCACGTTCACACAGGTGAACCACTCATGTAAACACACCAGCTTGGTTCAGTCAGTTCTGTGAATGTACTGGTTTGGGAAAGAACCATATTTGAGGACAATTAGGACAATTAAAATGATGACCAAAGCCATCCCCCAAAGCTGGAAACAAGTAAGGAACATTGCAGATGCTGCCCACATTCTCTCACAGGCAGCACTGACACCCGGTAGCATGACGGAGGCAAACGTGCCACCCGCAGCCAACTGCTCACCCGCCCAGGGACTGCTTGGGGCAGTCCACTGTGGGAACTCTGGGATTGCCAGATTGGATCACTTTTCTATTTCTGGAGAAGTCTATATTCCGTTCTGCCTTCTGGCTCACAAAGCCAGGGCAGGCAGGATATCTACTCATGGAGAAAAAGACAACACGCTCCTGACTCTTTCACTGCCAAAATGGTGTCCAAGGCTGAAGGTAGTCTTCTCATGTGAATACCCTTGTTCCTGTTTCATTTCACTGAGTGAAATGAAAACCCCAAACTCGGCTCAGCACCTGTGGCTCAAGAAGCTAAGGCACCAGCCACATACACCTGAGCTGGAGGGTTCGAATCCAGCCTGGGCCCA